ATACATACATACATATGTAGTTTTACACATCTGCTATCCCTCGCCTGTTTGTTTAGTAAGTTTTTTTGTCAGAAATATTTTACATCTTGATTATGCTATTGTACCAAATACAGCGTACCAAAGATTTGTCTAAAATATCTGCATGAACGACCTAAGGTTTTCTCTTTTAAAAGTCATGTTTGAAGACAGTTTGAAGGCTGACAAATCAGACAAATGTCCAAGTGCTTTTCAAATCGTAATCATAATCACAAACCTTTATTCGCTGGATTCAACTATAGCAAAGAATAAATCTAATATTTCAAAGAGTTTGATGCATGCGTTTTCTAATTGCTTCACTTAATAAACAACACAGAAATCAGTCTTGATACACTGGTTCCTGCATTTCGGTAAGGACCTTAAAGCAAGCATGTTTTGAATAAAACTGAATACTTTGTTGATTTTAGGTTGGTTTATTGGCCTACCTGCCAGAATCAAAAAAAAGAATCAATCATCTAGTGATGAACTATATGAAAATGTGCACAAATCCCACCTATATAAATGCTCTTGGTTTAAATTATTTAAAGGCATGAATGTTAAATCTGGCAATAAAGCTGATGAGTATTTAAGTGCATGCAAACTGAGTCTATATTTACCAGCCTGTGCAGGGTGTGGTAGATCTTGTGGATACTGGCCAGTGTGGACAAATGAGAGTTCAGCTGGAAATCTGTGAGGGACATATAAAAATAAACATCTGTTACTCCTGGCAGTTATGTACAAGCATCTGGGCCATACATGGGTTTCTGTATGAAGGTAGAATGACGTCAAAAAGATTTGCATACGCAGGTTCACAGGCTTGCAGTGCTTTTGACTGTCTTTTGGCGAAAAAAAATGTGCCAAAAGTGTAAGCGTGGAAAAATGGAAGTCAGAAGCATGCAGATCATATTTATTTTGCGTTAGCATGAAGCTGCAGTTTCACAATACATGAATTACACTTACGAATAACAGTAAAATGCTGCAAATAATTTTTTCTTGCGCTTGAAACGCGATTTACATCTTTACAAAGCTTCTCTTGCGTATGCAAATTTAATTTATGCTTACAGTCTTATGTACACTTCCACAAATATTACCCTGCGTATGCAAATCTTTTTTACGTCATTCTACCTTCATATTTCTGTGTGTTGCTTGTTGTGGTGTGTATATATGTTCGCACTGCAGTGTCTTCAGTTTATACGTTGAAATTTTTGAGGACATGGGAAAGAAGCATCTGCTCCAGTCAAGCCTGTAAAATGACAGGGAAATATGAGAGGCCATGTGAGATTCTGAAGTGTTTCTAATAGGCTAATGCATACAAGTATGCATTTAACTGCTCTATGTGTCTTCATTATGAATATAGCCGGCTACCAACACTGTCATCCATAATCTTTATATTGTCAAGTATGGTTTCATCAAGAAAGTAAATGCCAGTGTGGAGGCCATATTTCTCTAGCATGTTAATATCAGGTCCTAGCGAATTTGTGAAAAAAAGATTTGGGATTAGATATATTTAAGAATAAATATGCACAAAGAGCCAAGTACAGATTGAAACAGGTTTACAAGGATATACTTAACACCAGTTGGACAAAACGTACACAGCAATATTCCATAAGCTTGTAGTTGTAACCTAACACTTCAGAAGATGCATTAATTCATTGTATGTGATCATGTGATGAAATTTAATTGTTTTCGAAGAAAGTCAGTAATGCCAATTCCCTTTCGGTCTTCAATTTACCTTTAGATCCACAGTTTTTCATTCAGGGTATTCTTCAAGATAATATAGCCTAAATATCAAAAATTATATTCAGATATGAATAGATGTGCATTGTGAAAGGTCAATGGCATCTTTTTAAAGGTCCACTATACATCAGTGTATAAGAACTGTCCTCATGCAGTGCAATGGAACGAAATATCATATTCTAAAGCATAAAGAAGCTCTAAGTGCATGGATCTTATTTTCAGTTGTTATAATGAAATTAATAACATGGTGAAGGTGGATCAGACACCAATGTGTATAGTAATCCCTTCTATACTATAAATACTTGCTGCTTATATTTGATGTAACTTATTTCATTAACTTTACTTGTTTTGATGTTTGTTTTCAAATAATATGAATAATAAATGATTTGGTATTAGACCGTTTTTGAAACAGGGTTGAAAACTAGGTTAGTATTATGAATTTTTAGATAAATTAAAGACCGACGTAGCAATGTGAAAAACGACATTAGCATTATGATTCATTTTACACACACTATAGACTTCCACGTTCTCGTTATTCAGATCTAGAAAATGACGTATCGGTGCAGGCCTTTCTGTACAAGCGATGTGCGAGTAGACAAGCCCCTGAAACAACATTAAAGTCAGAGTTGATGAAAGGTATCCAATTTAAACATTGTTCGGTGTATAATCCAGTACCTTATTAAAGCAAACTCGACGTAAAATGAGACTATTTGTGAACGTGTGACGCAGTTGTCAGGAATGCCAGTGGATATGAAATACCCCACACATGTAAGAAACGGTATTAAGTCGAATTCACACCAACACATTTCAAACATTCATATCTCTATAATTGACTGCAGTTAAAAATAGGATTTCCTGCCACATAACGTTTGTTCACATATGAGTGTATACACTCACAACTTGCAACGACTTTACAAAGTATCTGGAGAGTCTGTGGACTTCTGGGGAATGTAGTCTAATGGCAAACAACGCCCGTGTTTGCCAATCAAATGGTTCGGCTGAATAAACCACATTTCCCAGAATTCCTCAAATCATAATTTCAATCGGTACTCTCCCCAACTGATGAATGCGACCCAAATGGTGCAAAAAATATTTTTTGTCTTTGATTAAAGACATTTCTTTCACAACGATATGCAGTTGATCTTTCAGAGGGACGTACAGTAATGCGCCAGATCATACTCGACGTGTTTGCAAGCACTAATATTTTACACAACTGCGTCACAATTTTTACCCCTGTCATTTTTCCGCAGTTTTCTCGAAAAAACCGACCCGTTTAACTCTAAAAAGCAATCTTTCACTTGCTGTTTGGTTGGTTTGCACTGCTCACTCGAGTTGTGAGGAGATTGATCCCTTAAAGTAATTTGGGTATTAAAGGTAATTAGTGTACAAGTGTATTGTGTAAATAGGATCAGATACCTTGCTCTCGGATTGCTGTATATATTAAAGCAAAGGCTAAAATGCAGCGTTATTCCTTGCAAGGTCGTTGTCGCTTGCAAGCGCCCAAGACATCGGAGTAAAAACACAAAGAGAGCAGCTAGCAAGCTCAGAGTCAATCTGATGATTTGTATGCTCGGGTAACGGCTACTTTACTCACAAAATGCGTCAATACAGCGAATCATGCATCTTAAAAGAAGTCACGGCGACTTGTCAGGGTGCAGCAAGTTCGCAATTGCCATCACAGGTCGACAGAATACGAATAGCAGTGGAAACGTACTATTGTACTTACTTGACGCATCTGAGTGCATTTTTATGAAGCACACAACTGTATTTGTGTGAGTCTGCAGACCGGTCAGTGGGCGGGACATGTCAATATTATACATGCCCACAAATGATTTAGATGGACGAAATTTTCAGTCGCCACGCCCACTCGTGCCAATCATTGGTCGAGAGGAGTGTCAAATACATTGCGCAAGTAACACTGTGTTCCTCCCGCCTCTAAACCAACGTGATTGGTTGAAACGCTTCCATAGCCCCTCCTCTCGACGCACACGATTGGCTGAGAAGTATGTCTACACCCATCAGTTACGATAGTTTCCTCGTGCATAGCAGAAAGCCAGCCCACGATGATACGCTATTGGCTCCGCTGTGCACCAACACAGAGCCCACTTGGGTTAACAAAACAATGGTGAGAGAATACAGTGAAAAGCATTACTGAACGAGGTTGCTTTTGCTTGTTTCTACGCTAATGTCATCCAAACATTTCTATGAAAAGTTTCAAAAGTAAATGAAAAACATCACAATGAGCAGGAACCCTATAGGAATCACAATTATGTTAGCCATTGTGATTAAAGGGGTTGTTCACACCCAAAGATCTTCATCATCTGTTCCTAATGTTGTTTGGAACCAGTATTTATGTGTTGACCATAAAACATGATGTTGCTCCAGTCACCATTCACTTTCAATGTATTCACTGGCAATATACAAAAAGGGCAAATGGTGAATCATCTATTTGTGTATGCTATATGCAGGGTATTTCAGTAAAACATACCCTGTGTTTAGTGTTATGGTATTTGATCTACACAAAATCTTAATAGCCTATGCTAAGACTGCTGTTATAATATTTCTTATATTCTTATACTCAAGTCAGTTCTTTCTTCAAACCATTATTTATCTATACATTTACTAGTGTTCAACCAGCATCAGTTATGCTGTTTGGAACGTAATGAAGATGTTAAACATCTGTTTTCTCTAAATAACATTTTTCATTTTCACCCTTTCACGTAGTTCAAATCAGCTGTGGGTCTAATAAGTTGGCATGAAAGTTGAGCATGAATTTATACACTGCATGTTAGAATATTCTTTGAAAAACAACTTATTACTGAGTCACCCCCATATATCCTAATTATTAGGTGCCTTCATTAACAACATAGCTATTCAGTATATATTTGTTATATATAGAGTACACAGAACATTTAGGATGTCAGACAAAAAAACCTACTAAATAATGACTTGTTCTGATAAATTGCAGCAAGTGGAAGAAATAATACTTTCCTCTTTAACTAGTTTTGAATGATTTCAGTAACAAGTACAAGCAAGCCATCAAAGTTGTTGCATTCTTTGTAAAATTTGTTAGTTGATTTAGATTTTTACTAGAGGCCTGAAGGACAGCCTTGATGCACACTGGGTGTCAGGTTCTGGGCAGTTGTTAGCCACTGGCAAATAAGCTTCTGAGCAAATATGGCATTCTTGTAGCCTACTTTTAATGTAGTTATACTATTACATACATTTAGGGTACCTAATAAAAAATATATAAAGTGTAAATTCCCCAAACATGGATACGTGTTTATCTCGTGCAAAGCCATTTGTCTCTTGGCACAGATAGCTCTTACAAAGAGAACCTTTCTATAAACAGTTCTTAAAAAAAAAAGGCTCTTCATGGAACCATGGACCTTAGGGTAGATGCCATATTAAATTTTACGTGGATGAAAACAAGGCTGTGAGTCTTTACAATGTGCTATATAAAGGGCTTAGATCACATGCAATTTTCACAACTTTTAAAAAACGTTTTGCCTACTGAAAAGCTATCGGAAAGATGAGTTGTCAGCCGAGCAATCCGTATGTTTTTAAGCAATCCACTGAACCCTCTGACTGTGCATTTCCAGCCTTGTGTTCATTCCTGTCAGAAATTATATATTGTGCTATCTTGACTAAGGTCTATATATTCCAACAAAAAACCTAACAAACTGTAATTTACAACTGTAATGTATTTACATTTTGTCAAAGTTCTCTCTGCTGATGTCCTGAAAGAAACAGAAAGAACTGGAGCTGTCCACTATTGCTATGGTTATATTTTCAAGCGAACAACTGACCAGCACTAGGAATAGGATTAATCAGGAGAATTTAGGAATGTGTGTGTTTTTTTTGTATTTTTTTATTTTTTTATAAAATATAGATAAATATAAATATGTATTTATTAGTGCTCCACACTCCAGTCCAGTTGGTGGCGGTAAATGCACCAGAAGTTGGTTTGCCATCCGCCATAAAACGTTATTAGAAGAAGAAGATGACCAGCACTGGGGGGGGGGGGCAGTGTGGAGGGGCATTTAAAGACAGTCACGTGTCTAAAGCAAGCATTCAGCCTCGCCACAGTTTGAGCTCCCAGAATGCATTGCACTCTCAACTTTAAATCGTTAGTATCATATGTAGGGGTTTATATGCTTATGCATCTTAAATACCAATTTTGGTAGATTTATTTGTTTATTTGGTTGGTATTATTTCTAAAGGTCGCTTACCGTCATTGATGTTTGTGTCTCGTCTCCTCTCATACTGAACCCAGAAAGTTTTCTCAACTGTACACTCACGTTTCACCTCATATCGTATAAATCTTTCGCCTTTTACTAAATATTTCTGTGGGGAGTAACACAATGAGTATAAACTAATTTTATGATGCCCTGCTTTTGGCGGGGCTGGTTTTGTGGTTTACGGAAGATTTTGTGATTTTATTGTAATGTGTAAGTCTCGCGGTGTCTTTCGAGTACGTTTACAGCAAGGTGTTAGATACGACGTTAGTTTGTGACGTCAAGTGACAAACGAGTATCTTCATGTTGTCACTTCATGTCTCCGGTAACAGGCAGGACGTTCATAGCTTTTCACTCGGTTATGACAGATAGTTTCATTTCTGGTCGAGTAAATGTTTTGCCTTCTGCTAAATATTTTTATGGGGTGTAGTATGAATTTAAAACAGTTTTGACACTCCGCAATTGGGGTTCTCGTTCTTGTTTGAGATAATGTTAGTTTGTCTGCAGTCATTTTGTCTACCTCCTACACCGTACATTTGTATGCTGTTTAATGCAACTCTTTTCTAAAGTATATATGTTTCAGTATAATAGGCTAAGTAGGCGCTAAACCGAGCAGATGAGTCACGTGACGATGAGCGTCCTACTTGGTTCGCTGTTTTAATACAAATTCAAAGTACAGTACTCTTTTTACTGTAAACGTAGCTCCATGTGTTTGACTTGAAGTTTATTTGAAGTTGAAGTCATTTTGTAGTAGCTCCCCGTCTCTGAGATTCATGTTTCCGGTGGGCGGTATTTGTTCATGAGCAGCACTAGTTATTACACTTACGTTGTACCGCAGAGAGTAATTCTGTCGCATTTTACTAAAAAAAATAGAGTAATTTGAACAATGAGTAGAAATTATTATTATTGATGTGTTCTGCTTCATAGAGAAGTAGTAGGCTGTCTGTTAACATAAATAAATAAATACATTTACTGTACTGAATGTTGAAAATATAGAAATTATTATGAAATCAGTATCTTGAGACGTTATGGTAGCCCATATCTAGCCTATACAAGTGGTTTCTAACGCTTTTTGTCATTTCACTTTTCTGTAATTTTGAATGAAGCAGACAAGAAATGCAAAATATGTCTACTTTTCATTTTAAAAAGACATGTTATGCTTTACTTGCCATGGATCAGTGTAATTGTCTGCCAGTATTTTTATTTTTTAACAAAGATGGGTTCACTGTCATGGGTATTTAATACAGCAGGGGAGAGCAGGGCACAATGTAACACTTTTTGACTTTCTCAGTTTTTGTAAATCCACATGGGGTTCAGAGTAGGGCTGAACGATTAATTGCATTTGCGATAATATCGCGATATGGAAAAACACGATTTTTCAATCGCAGAGGCTGCGATTACACTCGGTCACGTGACACGCGAGAGTAAAGAGGTGTGTTCCACTTGAAGATCGATCGGTGTAGACGTCAAAGTACGGCGAGAGAAAGCATAAGGAGACGTCCGCGCTCTCAGCTCTCGCAGTACTTTGACGACACACCCATCGGTCTAAGCAGCGCTGCTTCAAGTCGAGCGCCGGCCATCAGCAGAAAAAGAAAAGAAATAAAACAGTAAACAGCCAAAGGACGTAACTTAGAATGGGAGATGGATTGGTTTGTGAAAGGGAAGAGAAAAGCCATAGATGAAGTCGCACAGACCCAGGCAGGTGCTGGTCATTTAAAAGCTAAATACAGAAAATATGACGAGGCATATCTTGCTCTCGGCTTCACTCACTGTGTCTAAGTTATACCAGACACTACAGTTGACGCGTCGCGCCTCAACAGCTCTACACTGGACGCGGCAAAGCGACCGTTGCAAATCATTTTAACTTTGTGTCAGTACGTCATAAATAGAACAAGGCATCAGTTTAATGTCGGGTTTTGTCGCGTCGCGCCCTATACAGTCTGTGGTCGCGCCGCGCCGCATCCAGTGTACACAGTGTCACTGGTTATAATGGTTCTACTGTATTTTGCCGCTCGCGTCCGGTGTAGACTAAAATTTTTAGGCTGCATGCCTGACCAACTGAACAAGTGGGAAGTGAATTAAATTGATTAATGAATTAATCAATGTTGCCATCTGCTGGTCGTCTTGACGAATAGGTTTTTCTCAAACGTCTACAATAGTTCTCTCGTTTGCTAGATTGCAAAACTCTCCGTAAATTAATCAATATTTAGCGAATATGAACAAATATAATAGTTTGTTAATTACTTATTTCAAGAGATTGTGTGTATCTGAAAGAAAACCATAAGGTTATTATTAGTTTAACCTTTAAACCTATATTACCTCAAACTCACATGGCAACACAGTTTACAACTGTAATTTTAATGAGATTAAGGTTATTTTCTAGAAACTAGAACATATTAAAACCAGAGTAGGGGAGAGCGGGGCACAATGTAACACTTTTTGAATTTCTCAGTTTGTATACAGCCACATGGGGTTCAGAGTTTTTTTTTTGTTTTTTTTTTATCCACAGTAATTTTACACTTGTCTAGTACAAATACGTCGCTTTGTTTCATAATTACAGTGTATACA